TCAGACTTTGCACAGCTTTCTGCGTTTTTATATCTTGCAAAAGAAAAAGTTTTGTCCTTGTTGCCATGTACAGTACTAGTCCTCAACACCTGCCAACATGCTGTGATAAAGTCAGTGAGAGTTTATCAGTTTGTGAGTAAATTCCTTCCAGTGCTGATTTAACTAGATTAGATTTTCAAACTGAACTGCTGGTAGTTTTCTTTTTTTCCTTTTTACACATTTTCGCAGTGCCGGACTTGGAGCACCGTCCCGGTTGAGTCCTGAGCGTGCGTGCCAGCTCATCAGCATATGAATGGCCGCACGTCCCCTTCAATGGTAGGAAAGAGGTGTTCCTTGAATACCTCAGTGAAAAGCAGCTGATTCAAGATCTGAGTTTTGCTCAGCGAAACTCTCAGAGGATTCACTTACTTTTACATTTAGCTTGAACATACTTGGTGAACTTTTGGAGCTTTGTGCGCGTAAAACCGGAGAAGTTCATTGGCAGGTTTGTAGTGCGCAGTGTGGCTGGGTTTGGCCTCTGCTGAGGACAGGAAGGAGTTAATCCGAAAGCTGCCAGCCACTCCCAAACCTCCAGCTGCTACCTGGTTTCCCCCAGCACCCAGCACCAAGCGACGATCCTGGGAATTAAGATGATCCGCAGCGCAGGGAAGCGATAAAACACTGGCGAGTTTCTAAACGCGTCTCTGGGCCTCTTTCAGCGGCTTGTGGATGCAGTTTGGTGAACGCGTAAAACTTTTGCTCACGGGTAAGTTTCTCGCCAGTTTCTGTTGCACCTGTTGCAGGATCAGTGATGAGTGTTAAAGCAGGTTTTCTGCTCAGTTTCAGTGTGTGTGTGTGTGTGTGTGTGTGTGGCGCTTTGAGTCATGTAATGGCTACAGCCTCTCCCAGGACAACCAGTGATTATCTGCACCTTTTCACACTGTAATTACCAGCACAGTTTGTTTCTTCAGTGGGAGGCTTTGACCACCTAAAAACAAGCTTAAATTCCTGTATTTTCTAACCAAACGCAGGAATTAAAATTTCTTCTTTTTTTCTCATGAATGAACCCCTCTTTACACTTGGAACAGGACTGTAGATGCACCAGGACCCCTCAAGTGCATTAATTCTCAGCCCACAATGGAGGGCCATCTCCAT